TAAGAAATGCTTCTTGAGCAGCAAATCAGCATATTAGAATGACTTCTGGAGGATCATGTGACCCTAAAGACTGAAGTAATGATGCTGAAAAAAATATTTTAATCCCTCATTCATTCATTCAAAAATCAGCTTTGCCATTACTGGAATAAATTCAAACAGAAAACAGTTATTTTAAATTGTTATAATATTTCACAATATTACTTTTTTTTTACTGTATTTTTGATTAAACTAATGCAGCCTTGGTGAGCATAAGAGACTTCGAAACATAAAAAAAAAAAAGATAGTCTACGTGTTGTCAAAGTGCATCATGTGAAACAACATATATAAATTTCAAATGATGTAGATGTAAACATAAACATAAAAATAAATAAATAAACAAGGGTTTGCAGCTGTTTAAGTGTGCACAGTGAAAGGTCACTGGGAATGAATCTGAATTATTCATCTTGTGGCTAACTGGTTTGGACAAATGCTTATATAGGTCATGTAATAACAATGCATCATTCCAACATTAATGTTAATGCACGCTCTACTTAACATAAATATTGCTTCATTCTACGAAGCCAAGATTAGCAAATGAAAACAAACATGTAGGTGTTGCCGCATGTATATATAATTAAGAGGGTGTTTAAGGAAATACATTTCTATCAAATGATATAAATGTCTGCAGGAGCTGCTCTGACAGTGGACTACACTCTGAGCTATTAATCTCTCTTCTACTTCAGTGACTTCCTGTGAGAAAGTGTTTTCACCGGGCTGAGGCAGCGGGACATGACAGTGGTGCGTCCGACCGGCACTTGCGCTGGGCGTTCTGGGTAAACAGGGTGGATATGATTGGTAAAATGATCCTGAGCCAGGAGTGTGTTTTTGGTGTGTCTGGCGAGGGTGGGCCAAGCTGCTCTTGCCTTTTGTTTTTCCACCTGACTGGTGTCATTACCTCTGCCTCTCCCCTGCTGACGCCACCATGAGCTGACAGCCTCTCTCTTCAACCCTGCTAATCATGTCATTCCCTCTCTACATCTGTATCTCTCTCCACCATTAGCATGCTGATGACTGGCTTTCTTCAAGAGTCTCACTCTTTCACCTTGTCATCTTTATCCCTCCTTTTCTACAGTTCATTGCTTTCTCCTTATTCTTTCATATGGTTGTTCTCAAAGTGAAAAAAAAAACACCTTAGGGGCTCTACTAATTTTGCTCGTCTTTTTGTTGTGATTGCAAGGCAGCAATGTGTTTTGTAGATAATTGTGGTCTTAGACATGACATCAATTTTTTCACACATTAAGAAATTGAAGACTAAAGTGTGAAAATCTTCCACTGACAGCTGAACATTCTATCATTCAAAATGGAAACAACTGTGATGACATCACTGTAATATTTTCGGTTATCTCCATTACATCTTTTTGCATGCTGAATTGCAATTGGTCTCATCTTCTTTACATTGCTGTCAAAAAGCTTAGGGTCGATATGATTTTTTTTTTATTTTCTGAAAGAAGTCTCTTATGCTCACCAAGGCTACATTTATTTGATCAAAAATAAATTTACAACAGTAACTCTGTGAAATATAAGTACAATTTAAAATAACTGTTTCAATATTTTTGAATATATTTTAAAACGTCATTTATTCCTGTGATGCAAAGCTGAAATTTAATTTTTTTCAGCATCATTACTCCAGTCTTCAGTGTCACATGATCCTTCAGAAATCATTCTAATCATTCTAATATGCTGATTCATTGCGCAACAAACATTTATTTTTATTATCAGTGTTGAAATTATAGTTTTGCTACTTTGCTACTTACTTTTTTAGAAATTAATATTGTTTTCAAGGATAATTTAATGTTAAAAACAGCATTTTTTTTTTATTGTTGTTGGTAATATACAAGTCTTTACTGTCACTTTTGATGACAGTAAATTATCATTGAATGGGTATTTTCTAAATAAAAGCATTTATTTCTTTAAAATCTTACCCTTTTTGAATGGTAGTGTTTTTAATCAGTTATAGCTGCACATGATTAAATGAGGAGTGTGTCGCAGTATTCATCAAAAAGTATGTGAAAATACTCAGATGACCTACTGTTTCTGCTAAGATTCAGCAGCACACATCTGATTTACACTTTACTATCCTATAAGGCCATGGGAGTCATAAAATTCAAGTAGTTGAAAAAAAAGGGGGGGGGATTGTTAAACGATTGGCTCTTTTCAAGTGTAAGCACTACAGTTATAAAGAAAGTTGTTGCTAACAACTTAATATTAATGCAAAGTTGGATTTGGTTTTTGTACATAATATGAGAGTAGAAAAGCAAAACTGTGAACTTAAAAAAAAAAAAAATAAAAAAAAAAAAAGATTTTTAAACATTATTTGTTTGCTGCCTTGCAAGTGTTTTTTGTTTGCTTGTTTGTTTTTGTTTTTTGAGCCTGACATCAGCCTATTATTTTATTTACAATATGTAACTTAAAAAAAAAAAAAAAAAAAAAACCTACAATTCAAGACATGTTACACAACGTAGCAGTGCCCTACAAAGTGAAAAAGAGTCGGCGGACACTTTCCGTTCAGACATGAGGCGAGAGATGGTCGGGTGTACTTACTTCTCTTGCAGCCACACTTTTTAATCCTTTTGGGATCTGTGATGTCATCATGACATGCTTTGCAGTAGAAAAATGCTCTGAAGAAAGACAGTAAAGAATTGAACATTCTGCTTCAAGTGTGCCCTTCATATTTCAGTTTTCACTTGTATTTAAAAATGACAAATTAAATTCAAGAGCACAAGTAATTTTGATGGATTGAAGAGATGATTACCTTTTCACTTCTTTGGCATCACTGGCGATAAAGAATCCCAAAGTCCCCTCCTGCATCTTAACGTGATTTCCCGGGTTGATCAGAATACTGTTCAGTCAGAAAAAAGGGTCATTGTCATTAACATGAAAATCAACCTTGCACATTCAACACTCTAATCAAGAGGAATGGTACACGTGTTTTTGGACCTTGTTGAAAAGACTGATGAGAAAACATGCATATACTGCATCAAATTTTGATACTGGAGTTGTACTTTTGTCAAAAAATACTGCAGGGAAAGGGACCTATTCAAAAATAATGCTTAGGCCACTTGGTTTCACACAAATACAGCACAGTACACAACAGAATGACCAACCCATTTTAATTCTTCTTTTTTTTTCTTGTACTGAATTGTCTTGGTGATGAGATAAAAGAAAGAATTAAAATTGGGGCGGAAACAGTCTAGGCGTTCTGGTCGACAGGCCTTCAGAAACTCATGGTGTGAGGTCTATCACCACACAGAAGCGCAATTTAATTCCTTCTTTAGTGCAGTGGAAAGCAAGGGAATGACCAGCCCACCAAGAGTTCAGGGTGCATCCCGGGTCTCTGAAACTGTGGCAACAGCATAACTAAGCCAACACAAGCCATGCAGTTTTACTTGAAGTTGCTACTGCGCAAACAAGAAAGCGGAATTCCAAAACTCTTGTCATAAATATTGTTACCACTACATTTGTAGCATTAGCTAACAAGCCATGGTTATTACTTTTATTATTGTTGTTGTGTAACCTAATTAAAAAAATAAGCATTGACTCTATGCCACAAATAATCAGTATCTGTTACTCTGACAGACTGAATTGTAAGGTTTCTCTGATATTTTGTATTTTTATTTGTCATGTTTAACGTTACTGACTGACTATTATATACAAATATGACGAACTGCATGTCATATCATCTTGCTAGCCAATATTAACACTTTTTGTTTTACCTGGGAGTACCTTTTGCTGCTTAATATTTTATTTATTTATTTATTTATTTTTGATGAAATAGAAACATTTTGTAACAATGTAAAAGTCTTTACTGTCACTTTTGATCAATGTAATGCATTGCTGAATAAAAGTACAATTTTTTGTTTTAAATCTTTTTGAACGGTAGTGTATGTTAAATCAATACAAAACATGTAAATATGGCAATTGTAAAATGAAAACTGATAGGTTTGATTTTTTTCTTTTTAATATCAAAAAGACAAAGCATTCTGAATCAAATTCAGTAAATGACAGAATTGTTTTGGTTAACGCAACCTTTGCTCTGGGTTTTGGCTCCTAGCGATTGATCAATCCCAAGCTATTGTGAACAAATACCAGTCGCTGTCAAACCTAAGCTAGCGCTGTCAGTGTCTCTGTGATTTCCCTTGGTGGGCGAGGAATTTTTGATGTTTATGAATCTAATGTCAGCTTCTGCCAGATATTTGAGAGAGTCTGGTTTGTAACTGTAGAGGTTCTGCAGTGTAGACAGAGCCACTGCTGAACCACTGTATCATTCCCCATTAATTAGACAGAGACGAGACAACACAACATAGCCATCAAAGGTTGCCATTTGTTAGGAATCGTCAATGAATTGAGTGGTGGCTGCAACACTTGACAAATGCCCAGCCTGACTAGAGCGCCAAGGCCAGAGAGCCCAGACGAAAGGGAAAGGTACATGAAAGACCATCCTATTATTCCACAGACTCAAAACGGTGGCCAGCATCATTGGCTCTGAAAAATCCATATACTTAAATACCATTTGATACATGCAGTCTATCAAAATCCTTTCCTCTGGGCTCATCTAATAACTACTTCATCAGAAATGAAGGCCAAAAGAGGGGGATTTAATCCATCATAAAGCATATTGGTTGGTCAAGTAATGAAAATGTCAAAAGCGCTCTGTCTTGCATGAAATCATTGTGCTGGGTTATTTATCACTGAGCTTTATATCTGATTAAATAGCCCCCTTAGCGAGAAGCAGCACATTTGACATGCTGTTCAGAAGATGAATACAAACAGACTCATTCACTGACATACTCGCACACATTGCTCCCCAAATTTGAGATTTTCACACCGTTTGACACTTATGCAATGGGCTGATCACAGACCGACTGCATGGAAACATAGGCTTCCGTTCAGACCAAACCTCATATTATGGGAAACAAAGCAAGCATCACACAACACTTGACAGAGCATACGGGCATGCGGTTACCAAGAGCATCACAACCAAGGGCACATCTAAAAGAGAGCAGGTGCAGCCATCGCACAGCGGCACGTAGATGCAAACTGTTGCAGTAACTTCTGTGCAGTTGGATTGTTGTATAGAACACCAAACTGACAGGAAGTGACCTCACTTCATAAACATCTACTCAGAGACGCACAGGCATTTGGGGACATGATGATAGTTAGTTCCAGACAAACACACACACTGATCGACCATTCAGTCACACACTCGCACTCGTCAGAATCAACATCACACACACAAATACAAATCACAGTCGCTCCAACACACAGAGACATACAAATGCAATACAGTGTTAGAGTGGTAATGACAGAAAAGGCAAAGATGGTCGCCATGAATAGTGTGGCCTTTACTAACCAATCAGTGTTTAGCGTTTATTACTGCCGAATTAAAACTTGCCATATTGAGACACATCAGTTCTTAATGGACAAACACTAGTATTTTCTGATATATAATGCACTGAGTACAGCTGTTTTCCTATTAGGGCACTTTTCTTGGTGCATTACAAAAAAAAAAGTACTGTTCACATGGAGAGCACAACGCTGAAAAAGACACGAGCAGAAATGATTTGCAGCTGATGAACACTGAAAAATAATCAAAAAGGAAAGGAGAATAGAGGAAGTCGAGAACAAAAAAACAGAGATGAATGAACATGGAGTGGATAAATGCTGTGTTGATATGTGAAAAGCACAGACGAAGAAACGAGTGAATCGAACAATAGCAACTACTCTCTCTGCCTGCAAAGAAGTTAGTGCATTAAGCACAAAGAGAATCACAATAAGAGAGATAGCGAGAGATTTTGGCCATTTCTGAGAGGGAGGTGGTACAATATCCTTAAGTTTTTCTCCCACAGTTGATCTAAAGTGTAGAGGGGTGAGATAATGAAGAGGGCATACCGCTTTCTGCTTCTGCAAACAACAAGAAAACATTATAAATCAAACATAGACTGGGAAAAAAAAGGAGGCGAGGTGTCAGTCATCTGTATCTGCACATTAAGATCAGAAGATGAAAAAAAAAATCAGTCAATCTCCAAAGTAGAGGGCAAAACAGTCACTTTCACCATAAAAAAAAGATATAAAAAAAAAACGCTTCACATTGGTTAACTCGTCTGTCCTACAAAGGAAAAATTATGGTCTAAATCCCAAAGTGCGCTTCCAAGTTTAGACCAGCCCAGGACACCAAATTGAGAGTTACACTAAAGGATAATGTTGTGCCCTCTAAAGGTTTTGCCATTATGTGAGGTTTGGTAAAGTTATTAACCAAAGTTTAACAGCCATCCATTAGAAAGTAATCAAATTATAGGAACTGTATTACACCGAGTGACAGTAAAAAATAACTTTTGTTTTACAGTCGTTCGTTGTGTGTGTTGTCACGAAGAATACTGGACATGAGTGGCACTATAATGTGATATTGAGGAAAAACAAGGTTCTGTGTTACACTTTTAGCAGGTGATTCATAAAGAGTGAAAAAAGGTAAACTAGTTCATAACTGTTCTGAATACAGATCTCTCTGAGAGACAATATGGCAAAACCGGGTAGTGGTAGGCGGTATGGGCAAAATCTTATATCACAGCATGACTCATTTTTAACATGGTAATGGTATATATTACAAACAAGAAAACTGTTTATATATTAAATCACCATATGTTAAAAGCTATTTTGAGATAATCCAGAGAATTAAATACTTCACAAAAGAAATACAATTCATCTCATTTGATCATTTTGTCTTTTAACTTTGAATTTATTGGAAAACCTAAAAAAAAAAAAAAGAATCATACTTAGTCAATGTAACTGAATGGAAAAAAAAAAACATTTGCATTATGTCACACCTGAGTAAGAAACAAAAGATTCAAAACTATAAAACTAATATTATAAAATGGATAGTTAAGATTAAATTGATTGGATGAGCCACATTAAAATACCCCTTAAATATTAAAATATGTACAATACTCATTGGCATTCCATATAAATGCTCCTTGCAATGTTGCCACTGTAAACTCTGCATTTTGCCTAACAAATATCACTCAGCAAAAACGTAAAAAAAAAAAACTTGTTTGGCATACATCCCACACTTTATTGCATGGACTGTTCTGTGACGTAGCTGTCCTAACCAATATATCCATCTACTGTAAAATAAATGGTAATGTAGCATATTTACACACATTTCTAGTGTCCCATAATATATACTGTCATACGACCAATCCGTATTAAAAAAAACAGGTCTTCTGGCTGATATTTTGATGTGTGTGTGTTTTCAGGCCAACTTGTGTTCTAAACCACGCTCATTAGTACACACTGTACACAAAATGCATTAGTAAGAGTTACAGTGTACAGAAACATTGGAACACAGGTTGTGGATGTGGGAAGGGGTGGTGGGATTTGGCAAAGTCGAAGTTACTGAGACAGAGTACTTCATGTTATTAGTTCAAATGGGTCACTTAACAGAATGCCACAAGAGTGCTATTGATAGAAGGCTCGGAGAGTACACCCTCATCAATACAGCATAGTGAGTCTGAGCAGATGTCATGGCTCTTTGGCTTCACGGTGACTCTTACAGACAGTGATCGGCAATTGTGATGCTGTGAGAGTCGAGCTGAGGCGAACTTCCTCCAGTGACAGAACGTAACATGCTGCTGTCTCAATGAGAGCGATTTCAATTTGAAACCAGATTAGATTACTTTCACAGAGATTTAATGATGAAAACCTGCCAGCCTTTTCTGACAACATAATGTCTAGCAAGTAAAAAAGGATAACGATACTGAAGGGGGTCTATAGGACCAATGAGGGACACAACTGCTTTGCCCCTCTTTGGCCAGTGTATTGTGAATGGTGGAGTTGAAGACCAAATGGGAACAAACCTGCTTTCCCTCTGCTCTGACTTGTACTCAATAGCGATCAACAACAACTTGAGCTTCACATAGCACAGCCTGAAACAAAGAATAGACATTTAGTGTGCAGAAGTCATCATTTAGCTATTTAAATTCATAAGACCCATTAAATGGTCCTTTAAAAACGAATGAATGTTTATCTAGTGCAATCAGAAGACCCTATTACCATGAAATCTCATTGGTTCAAAATCTTGCTTTAAACATTAAACATCAAATTTGTTCCAATTGGCTGTGATTGTGTCAAGTAGGGCTGCACGATAAATCGCATGTGATATTTAACGCGCATCTTATCAGTAAAGCCGGTTCTGTAATCAGCGGTAAATCTCCATCACCTGCGTGCTTTCACATTGAGCAGCATTACGCCCGCAGGTGATGGAGATTTACTGCTGATTACAGAACCGGCTTTCTGACAAGATGCGCGTTAAATATCGCATGCGATTTATCGTGCAGCCCTAGTGTCAAGTAACAGTTTCGCATTCAGTGTGGACAAACAAAATTAGGACATGTGATAGTTCAGGTCTGCAGTAAATTTGGCAGTATATTAAAAGGCAATAATTTATGATATTTACTACAATGTGCTTGTATACAGAGTAACGACATGCTGTAAAGCTCCCATGCTTTAGAGCAGAAGCATACTTACTCACAAACTGTAGGAAATGAAAGCCCCACAAAGGCACTGGACAGGTACTCAGTGTACATTTCATTGGCCACTCCCTCCAGATAATACTTCTGCCATGTGTCCTCCTCAATCTGCACAGCAAAAACAGTTGGATTCAGATACACACAGTCAGGGAGGACAACATATTTCATTTTATTGGAATGGCTAGATAGCAATCAGAACATGTCTAAACATTTTTACACAAGACTCAAGAAAATTATATCTGACTTAACGGGATAGTTCACTCAAAAATGAAAATTATGTTATCATTTGCTCAACTTCCTGTCTAAACCCATAAAACTTTTGCTCATCAACAAATTGAGATATTTTTAATGAAACCTGAGTGATTTATGTG